TGTAACGGATATACCCTCCTTTGAAGTTAGAATATGTCTTCTCAAAAAATATTTTCTTTTGAAATAAAATCATATTACACTGATGAAATCACGGAAGTAATTTCATTCAATTTAATTTCATTCAACGCAATTAACTTAATATCATTATTGTTTTTACACTTATTACTCTTTAAACAATGCTAAATCCTCAAAATATGTATATTTCACCCAATTTATCGCAGTTGGATGAATGAAAATAAGTCCATCTTCAGAAAACGTCAATATCTAACCAAATTGGTTAGTTGACCTATTGACGTTTTTGTTAACCTGAAGATGGACTTATTTTCAAGTCCGAAACTATAGTAGTGTAATACTGAAGAAGGATCACTTGACGAAGCCAGGTAACTTAAACCATTTAGCTTAAATTTAGTGATCCAGAGGCTACCTCACCATGTATATACCTTTGAAGTAGAGGCTATATTTATTCCCAAAAGGTATCAAACGCCAGCTCCTGAGCAAATCTTTTCTATCACTTAAAAGTTTGTTTCGTGTTTTTAGTCTTCACGTACAGAGACTTAAATCTTTGTATTAAATTGTTAGCAATCATAAATCGTGGACAGAATCTTCCACAAAAGATAAATACAATATAGTTTAACACCCTAGAACTCCTTTAAAAAAATATTTTTTTAATAAGGCTTCGTCATAATGTTAAAAATACTCAATACAACAAATTCATTAATTTTACATATGTAAACGTTGATAGTTGTGTGCGTATTGTATTTTTAATATATCTTCTGTATACATCTAGTCCTCTATATTTTCTGTGTACACAAATGCTTCTGTATACACTTTTTTGCAACTCACAGTAACTGAGAAATATTCTAAACTGGTGAACAGTTTTTATAAATGTTTGCCATTATTTCTCAACCCGTGCTTAAAAAATTAGTGACTCGTGGATAAATCCAGATACAAAATTTAATCTAAATCGGACCACAGGTTTTGTCTGTAGCTCTGTATCTGGATCATACAAGTGTGTATTATATAACCTGATATTAGTCAAAATATGTTTTATTCTATAACGTTTAATTTAATTAAACATAAAAGTCATGCTCCCTCCATTTTTAAAGTATTCAGTCCAAAAATGTAATAAATTTACTTGTGCATACATATTATTTCGTTTTAATAAATAATTGAGGTGATGCAATACACTTATGTAGGCAGTCGCAGCAGTCGAAGCCGGGCATAGCGCCTAGAGTTTCATGAACGCAAACCGTGCAACGAGTAGCTAAATGAGCCGTAGAGTAAGTGAGCCATCTAATATTTTGAAGAGGGTCCACTTACTCTACAGATCATAGTGCCTATGATCTGTAGTGTAAGTGAGCCATCTAATATTTTTCTGCAGGCTCGTATAGTATACGTATCCTATAATTTATATTATTCATTATTTTGGCTCGTATACTATACGAGCCGATTCCTGAATTATCAAATAATTCTTACGCTTGGCTCATAGTCACTATGATCTGTAGAGTAAGCGAACCTTCACCTTCATACTGTATTTTTAAATATAATACACGAGGCTCATAGTCACTATGATTTGTAGAGTAAGTGAACCCTCTTCATTTATTTTTTATTTTCGATAGGCTCGTATAGTATACGAGCCTGTAGTGCAAGTGAACCTTCAATATTATTTACATAGCTCGTATAGAGTATGATCTGTAGAGTAAGTGAGCTGTCCCCCAACAAATGTTCCTCGCAAATCAGCCAGAACAAGAAAGCAACGGAAAAGACTGGACTTATGAATCAAATTTAGTGGGGAAGAAACTGTTGTATCTCTATGTTTCAAATGCTATGCATTTAATAATTTAATCATCTGTTAATTTCCAAAATGTGATTCAATTAATGTAAATAAACCAGTGACAAAATAAGGCTCATTTTCAACTTACATTTATTTAACTATTTATTTCAATATATAAACTTACAATACAACACCATGCGTATGCGACCTATGGTAATAGCTTATTCCCTATATGGGAAATTCGCTAAAAGGTTGGCAATGCCTTGATATTTTTATGTTTTGTTCTACCCACACAGTCTAACATAAATTATTAAGTGAATAATTATCGTGCAAGCTACCTCAAGTATTCAAATGCCTCTCAATTTGTCATTAACCCACCACATTACTGTCATTAAAAGAAGGAACTCCAATGTCACCGATACTGGGGCCCTATTTTTGAAATGGTTGACTGTTGAGTCTACCGTCAACACTCAACTCAACCAACAACAGGATTTGGTATTTTTGAAATCCAACAGGTTGGAAGTGAGTTAGGAATCACTAGTTGAGTGACTTGTTTTGGAAATGTAGGCATACGACCGTACGAAATTCAGATGACGTCATTTTGAACCAATCACAATGCAGAGTTCTTGCGATCTTCGATTTAACCTCTTCTTACTCTAAAATCTGGCAGCTAATCTCAATCTACCATATTTCGAGACACTGAGGTAAACTGTCAACTCCGTTCTTGAGAGATTGAGGTTATGTCTTGCTTAATCTTAGTGATTGCAAAAGTACCTTAATATAAACTTAAGTATTAAAAATAAAATTTACTATGGATGTTTGTTTTAGGGTGTAGCTCATTATAAGTTTAGGCATATCCTAAATACATTATTATTTGCTTTCTTCGTCTCTATTTCAGAACACATCACCTTATTTTAGTTTCCTTCATCGTTTTGTTTCATGTTATTTTTAATTAGTTTTTTTTATTTAGGCTAAAGCTTAAATGGCTATTTGCCCTTGCACTGAAAGCATATCGTAACTTATTAATTTGATCCCTTTATTAGGTGAATGGTATTGAAACAAACTATGATATTGTTTCTCTTTACCACAATCTTTAATACCTTAAATCATAGGTCTAACAACAATAATTATCTTATAATAAGTTAAATTAGTATGCCTAGTCTATTTCAAACATACCAACAAGGATAAAACCCTTGATTAAATAGTCTAGTATTGACACAGTAAATAAATTAAAATGCAATTAATTACAGAAAACAATCGAATAAAGTATTGGGTGCTAAGACATTGACAACAAATACATAACCTCTAAATCGCAATTAGTAATTTTAATTAAAGCAATAGCAATATGGCGTCGACTCAAAAAGATCAATTTTTGCCGAAAGAGGAAGAAGAAAGTGCAGTCAACCGTCCACTCAACAGCTCAGTAGGTGGTGAGTAGTTTTGGTTGGATAAGTCCAACGTCAATCGTTTCAAAAATACGAAACGATTGGAAATAGAATGACTCAACACACAACTCAACAGTCAACAATTTCAAAAATAGGGCCCCTGGTCCGTTCTGGGTCCAGGCGCAGCCATGCGGATAATTTCAGGGGTACGACATTAGGGGTGAGGTTCATAATGTCAAAATTTCACAAACTCCAACGTCTAAAATATTAAATAAACAGTGTGTTTCATAACCTCCAAACTTCATAAACTCCAAAACTATAACTTTCAAATAAGCACAGTTTCACAATGTCCAAATTTCACAAACTCCAACTTTTAAATATCAAATAAACAGAGCGGTTCATAACCTCCAAGTTTCATAAGCTCCAACGGTACAGTCTCTGCCATAAGTCAATCGAATTGGCGGGATACCGAGGCGGACGGGCCGAATGAACCACTCTGTTTTACACAAACATACATTCACTCAACCTGCTCTGCTACACTTATTTGTTAACATACAAATTTCAAATTGATACATTATTTTTCTGGAAAAACCAGTGCTCATTACTATGTAGCTAGTTTTTACCTTAACATAATTTTTATAATTTATTTAGGCAAATTAAAACAGATGATTGTTTTTTAACACCATAAAAAACATGAAAAATGTAGTAAGCGAGGAACTTTTTTATTTTTTGGTCAGGGAAAAAATTCCTGCGGCAAAGTTTTAGATCAAAGTATGAATTTTATTTTTTATTTGAAGCTTTTTTTGATACGGAGCCTGCTTGTATCATTTTTAAGCGATTAAAAATTAGGCATAAAATCGCTTGGCGCGGCATTGGCGCTAGGAGTTTGGCCGGCTCAGCATCAGTTTACGGGATATAGAAACTGAGTTTCTAGCATTTAATTATCATTATATTACATCAAATATGTCATTACATTACGAAGAATGGTAACTTAATTTACAGGCATATGTTTGTGCATTTCAATGCTTACCGGTAGTCTATAGTTAACAAAATTCTTTGATATAAATGCTTCCCCGATTGTAATTTCGGAAATTGTCTTCGTGAAATATGAAAAGGCATTTTTATAAAGATGTGGAGATAATTTAAGTTCTTGGTAAAACCCACTGAATTAGCGACCTGGCCCAGTTATTATTTCTACTTTAATTCTCCTTTCGTTAAGGTAAACTAAATTAGTGTAAATGCATCCCTTTGACTAAACTTGTTGAGTCACATATTTGGGGTTAACACATATTTGAGTCACACAGCTGAGTGTTCTTCAATCATAAAATGCACGTATAATCAGTAGTTGAGCGCTGGCGAACGGTGCCTGCTATCTGACTGTGGCAACCACTGTAGAGACTTCTGGCTCAGATTGTACCGTTGGAGGTTATGAAATTTGGACATTATGAACCGCACTGTTTATTTGGTATCTTAACGTTGGAGTTTGTGAAATTTGGACATTGTGAAACAGTGATTATTTGAATGTTATAGATTTGGAGCTTATGAAAATTGGAGGTTATGAACCGCTCTGTTTATTTAATATTTTAAGCGTTGGAGTTTGTGAAATTTGGAGTTTATGAAACGCTCCCGACATTAGGACTGAGGGAGATCTCCCTTGCCGCGTCGGTTTCTTCCCGTTCTCCCGCAGAAGCTCCTAACCTAAATCCTAACTTGATCATGCTAGGTGGAACCCTTTTGTGGAAGTGGAGGGGATGAAGGGAGGGGTGAAAAAAAGTGACGTAATTCTGGCGCCAATCTGGCCCCGGTCTCTGATTCTGGAATCCGCCATGTTGGAAATTTGTGATGTGAGTGATGTAACATCGATCGAATTGTGGATGTAACATCTAAGTTAATGCGGTTTTGGCATTAATTAAGATTTTGTGATAGTTTTGATACGCCAACTGTGTAATTCGTTACATGATTTAGGCTAATAATTTGATACCTATCGGTTATTTCTTGATAGGCTAATTTATTGGTTAGGCATAGGCCTATTTATCCTAGGCTAATTCGTATTTCTGCCCTAGGCCCTACACTAATTAAACATGGATACAAAGGCACAAAAAGAACTGATCAAAGTGTTGTGCCCAAGCACTTTTCAAGCCTACCAGTGGCTAAAACTCAACAGAAACAGATGCACAGGCTAGGCCTATACGGGCCTGTGATGATTGAGGTAAGTTCTTGATAGATTTTTAACTTAACTTTTTTTTGTTGGCCCGAGTTAGGTAGGCCTATATAGAAACAGGGGGTACAGTTTCTTAACTGGGCTATGCTAATATCGATTGAAACTATCGAATTGGAAATATTGATTAATAATCGATACTTTTAACCCTTAGAGTGCCAGGCGAGAAATAAAAGTAACGCTCAAAAAATGCCGTTGATTTTTCCCGAAGGTCGTGCTAAAAATGCCGAGCGCGATCTGGTGATTTTTAGGTTAAAATTTCGTAAAAATCTAATTTTCGATATTTCGACCAACGAAAATCGATGTATCGCATCTAGTAACTTTCGACTCAATGTTAATATAGGTATGGGTTAAAAGAATCCGAGTATCCATTCGGTTGTTATGACAACTGTTCGATCATTACGAAACGTCCGGTCAGCCGGACGTTGGCACTTTTGGCTTGTTCTAAAAACGTCCGGACGTCGGCACTTTTGGCTCGTTTTAAAAACGTCCGGTTCCCTGGACGTTGGCACTCAAAGGGTTAAATATAACTTATGCTATTTATTATCAAATTAAACTATCAAAACCTGACCTAACCAACCAAACTTGTTGATGGTGAAAAAATTGCATGAAGGTTTACTAATCATATCGATAGTTTCAATTGATATTAGCATAGGCTACCTAGCCCAGTTAAGAAACTGTACCCGAAACAGGTCTAGGCTAGGCTAGCCTATTTTGTAGGTTTAGGAAATCGTTTACCGCATCTAATAAACTGTGTGGTCTAAATAAAATGAATCTGGTAAGGGATCGGACTAACTTAAGTTAACTGGCTGCACTTTACTTTAGGTCCTACACTCATTTGGATGAAAATATCGAATAAGTATTCGATTGTTTCATTCGATATATCGTTTGGTTAGTTAGGTAAGGTTAACCTTACCGATAGTATTAATCAATATATCGATCGATATTTTCATTCGAATGAGTGTAGGACCTAAAGTAAAGTGCAGCCAGTTAACTTTTAACTTGTGTGAACCTGGCAATAACTTGGCAATAAGTAGTACGCCCGCCCGCTAAAATCTATTGCTGGCCGTTTTGCGGCAAAATGCGACCGCGTAACATGAAACCGATGATATCACCAGATAGAGGACAGTTTAACGGACACAACAGTATCAATATCATGTACCTGGGGAATAAGAAAGGGGGGGTAAAGTCAGCAATAAGTAGTGGGCGCGCCCGAAAAAATCTATTGCCGGCCGTATTGCGGAAAAATACGTTCGCGAGCAATAATAACGACGATGCAAACAGATAGAGGACACTTCAACGGACACGACAGTATCAACATCATGTACCTGGGGAGTAATTTAGGGGGGGTAAAACCAGCAATAAGTAGTGGGCGCACCCGAAAAAATCTATTCCCGGCCGTATTGCGGAAAAATACGTCCGCGAGCAATAATAACGACGATGCCAACAGATAGAGGACACTTCAACGGACACGACAGTATCAACATCATGTACCTGGGGAGTAATTTAGGGGGGGTAAAACCAGCAATAAGTAGTGGGCGCGCCCGAAAAAATCTATTCCCGGCCGTATTGCGGAAATATACGTCCGCGAGCAATAATAACGATGATGCCAACAGATAGAGGACACTTCAACGGACACGACAGTATCAACATCATGTACCTGGGGAGTAATATAAGGGGGGTAAAACAAGCAATAAGTTGTGCGCGCGCCCTTTCAAATCTATTGCTGGCCGTATTGCGGAGAAATACGTCCGCGAGCAATAATAACGACGACGCCAACAGATAGAGGACACTTCAACGGACACGACAGTATCAACATCATGTACCTGGGGAGTAATTTAGGGGGGGTAAAACCAGCAATAAGTAGTGCGCACGCCCGATAAAATCTATTGCTGGCCGTATTGCAGAAAAATACGTCCGCAAGCAATATTAACAATGATGCCAACAGATAGAGGACACTTCAACGGACACGACAGTATCAACATCATGTACCTGGGGAGTAATATAAGGGGGGTAAAACTAGCAATAAGTTGTGCGCGCGCCCTTTCAAATCTATTGCTGGCCGTATTGCGGAGAAATAAGTCCGCGAGCAATAATAACGACGACGCCAACATATAGAGGACACTTCAACGGACACGACAGTATCAACATCATGTACCTGGGGAGTAATTTAGGGGGGGTAAAACCAGCAATAAGTAGTGCGCGCGCCCGATAAAATCTACTGCTGGCCGTATTGCCGAAAAATACGTCCGCAAGCAATATTAACAATGATGCCAACAGATAGAGGACACTTCAACGGACACGACAGTATCAACATCATGTACCTGGGGAGTAATTTAGGGGGGGTAAAACCAGCAATAAGTAGTGGGCGCGCCCGAAAAAATCTATTCCCGGCCATATTGCGGAAAAATACGTCCGCGAGCAATATTAACAATGATGCCAACAGATAGAGGACACTTCAACGGACACGACAGTATCAACATCATGTACCTGGGGAGTAATTTAGGGGGGGTAAAACCAGCAATAAGTAGTGGGCGCACCCGAAAAAATCTATTCCCGGCCGTATTGCGGAAATATACGTCCGCGAGCAATAATAACGACGATGCCAACAGATAGAGGACACTTCAACGGACACGACAGTATCAACATCATGTACCTAGGGAGTAATATAAGGGGGGTAAAACCAGCAATAAGTTGTGCGCGCGCCCTTTCAAATCTATTGCTGGCCGTATTGCGGAAAAATACGTCCGCGAGCAATAATAACGACGATGCCAACAGATAGAGGACACTTCAACGGACACGACAGTATCAACATCATGTACCTGGGGAGTAATTTAGGGGGGGTAAAACCAGCAATAAGTAGTGGGCGCGCCCGAAAAAATCTATTCCCGGCCGTATTGCGGAAATATACGTCCGCGAGCAATAATAACGACGATGCCAACAGATAGAGGACACTTCAACAGACACGACAGTATCAACATCATGTACCTGGGGAGTAATATAAGGGGGGTAAAACCAGCAATAAGTTGTGCGCGCGCCCTTTCAAATCTATTGCTGGCCGTATTGCGGAGAAATACGTCCGCGAGCAATAATAACGACGACGCCAACAGATAGAGGACACTTCAACGGACACGACAGTATCAACATCATGTACCTGGGGAGTAATTTAGGGGGGGTAAAACCAGCAATAAGTAGTGCGCACGCCCGATAAAATCTATTGCTGGCCGTATTGCCGAATAATACGTCCGCAAGCAATATTAACAATGATGCCAACAGATAGAGGACACTTCAACGGACACGACAGTATCAACATCATGTACCTGGGGAGTAATTTAGGGGGGGTAAAACCAGCAATAAGTAGTGGGCGCGCCCGAAAAAATCTATTCCCGGCCGTATTGCGGAAAAATACGTCCGCGAGCAATAATAACGACGATGCCAACAGATAGAGGACACTTCAACGGACACGACAGTATCAACATTATGTACCTAGGGAGTAATATAAGGGGGGTAACACCAGCAATAAGTTGTGCGCGCGCCCTTTCAAATCTATTGCTGGCCGTATTGCGGAGAAATACGTCCGCGAGCAATAATAACGACGACCTCAACAGATAGAGGACACTTCAACGGACACGACAGTATCAACTTCATGTACCTAGGGAGTAATTTAGGGGGGGTAAAACCAGCAATAAGTTATTGCTCGCGGACGTATTTTTCGGCAATACGGCCAGCAATAGATTTTATCGGGCGCGCGCACAACTTATTGCTGGTTTTCCCCCCTATATTACTCCCCAAGTACATGATATTGACACTGTCGTGTCCGTTGAAGTGTCCTCTATCTGTTGGCATCGTCGTTATTATTGCTCGCGGACGTATTTTTCGGCAATACGGCCAGCAATAGATTTTATCGGGCGCGCGCACTACTTATTGCTGGTTTTACCCCCCCTAAATTACTCCCCAGGTACATGAAGTTGATACTGTCGTGTCCGTTGAAGTGTCCTCTATCTGTCGGCGTCGTCGTTATTATTGCTCGCGGACGTATTTCTCCGCAATACGGCCAGCAATAGATTTGAAAGGGCGCGCGCACAACTTATTGCTGGTTTTACCCCCCTTATATTACTCCCCAGGTACATGATGTTGATACTGTCGTGTCCGTTGAAGTGTCCTCTATCTGTTGGCATCGTCGTTATTATTGCTCGCGGACGTATTTTTCCGCAATACGGCCGGGAATAGATTTTTTCAGGCGCGCCCAGTACTTATTGCTGGTTTTACCCCCCCCTAAATTACTCCCCAGGTACATGATGTTGATACTGTCGTGTCCGTTGAAGTGTCCTCTATCTGTTGGCATCGTCGTTATTATTGCTCGCGGACGTATTTTTCCGCAATACGGCCGGGAATAGATTTTTTCGGGCGCGCCCATTACTTATTGCTGGTTTTACCCCCCCTAAATTACTCCCCAGGTACATGATGTTGATACTGTCGTGTCCGTTGAAGTGTCCTCTATCTGTTGGCATCGTCTTTATTATTGCTCGCGGACGTATTTTTCCGCAATACGGCCAGCAATAGATTTGAAAGGGCGCGCGCACAACTTATTGCTGGTTTTACCCCCCTTATATTACTCCCCAGGTACATGATGTTGATACTGTCGTGTCCGTTGAAGTGTCCTCTATCTGTCGGCGTCGTCGTTATTATTGCTCGCGGACGTATTTTTCCGCAATACGGCCGGGAATAGATTTTTTCGGGCGCGCCCACTACTTATTGCTGGTTTTACCCCCCCTAAATTACTCCCCAGGTACATGATGTTGATACTGTCGTGTCCGTTGAAGTGTCCTCTATCTGTTGGCATCGTCGTTATTATTGCTCGCGGACGTATTTTTCCGCAATACGGCCGGCAATAGATTTTTTCGGGCGCGCCCACTACTTATTGCTGACTTTACCCCCCCTTTCTTATTCCCCAGGTACATGATATTGATACTGTTGTGTCCGTTAAACTGTCCTCTATCTGGTGACATCATCGGTTTCATGTTACGCGGTCGCATTTTGCCGCAAAACGGCCAGCAATAGATTTTTTCGGGCGCGCGCACTACTTATGGCTGGAGTTATTGCCAGGTTCACACCAATTAACTTTTAGACCTATTACCTATGGCATGATAGGAGATGGGCCTAGGCTACTTAACTTAGCAGCCATAAGTTAGTTCTATAGTTATTTTGAATGATGGGCCTCTAAAATACAGCCCACATGTAACTTGTGTTTAAACCTCCTATTGTTAAACAAGGCCTTAGGCCTAGTTGTCCATTTTCAGAAGAGGGCCTTTAGGCCTACTAGGCCTATTTTAAGTTTCCCTTAACGATTAAATTGTTCTCAAATGTGCACCACCTGGTATTAAGAGAGTCATAGGTAGGCCTAAATATCCACCTTGTGCATAGGTACCATGTTCCGTCTTCGGCCGTTAAGTTACCTCATCAACTGTTAGGCCTAATTCGTCTTGCTGCTACCCGTAAGTAGGCGAAACGGTACTTTCCTGTTAACACGTTCGCTGCTGAGCGCTAGATGCCGGGGACGGACAGAAAGTACGGCCCCACTAGCTGCAAAGAATTATAGGATGCTCGTGACGAGCTGGCTGATCCATGGAAACGTTAAACAACAATGCATGGCAACGTTCCTAGCTCCTGGCGCTGTGGGCCTGCTGAAGTTGTGGAACGTCTGTGGCAGCGAACGTGTTAAAGGGAACTTTCATTATTATTACCAATGATTTCTTTTTGATATTATTGATTTTTTAAATTTGATATAGGCTAGGCCTATCGATATTAACAAATTGAAATTTACCAGCTAACAACTAGGATATTGTTTGTATCAACTAACAATATAAAAATATTATATTAAAATTAAACTGTTCTAAACTAACCAAACTTGTTGTAACATTTCAAAATTCCGTTCGATAATCTAATCCCCATATGCCTTATCTGTTATCAAACGGAATTTTGAAACGGTAACTTAGCCTACAGCAAGTTTGTTTAGTTATGTTAGGTTAATTTAAAATAGCTTCATTTATTTATCCAATAGGCCTGTATAGGCCTACCTAGGCTGTTCATTACATTTATTAAATAAAAATAGACTAAATTAAGTTGGGTATACTCCCATATCTGTTGGCACAAACAACCAAATGAAAATATTGATCGATATATCGAATGAAACAATCAAATTTACCGGTAATCAAAATTACTCATTCAATTGTTTTTGCCAACCGATATGGAAGTGTAGGTACCCATTAAGTTACCAAAAGCCATTTAAAACTATTTATGGGTAGGTCTGTGCTTCTGCAGACGCCAGACATCGCATGGTATCAATATCAAATGAAAATAAGTTAATGTGAGTGATCAATATTAAATGATAAGTTGGTAATTGTTTTACCAAAATTCATTATCCTCGTATAATAACGAGGATGGCCAATGAGGCTACAGCGCTCTGCAGAGGTCAGGTTGGTTAAAACTATTCAAATAGCCTACAGTGGAACGGAACCTCGATCAGTTAATGTATACATCAGGCCAGGATTAAGTTAGCCTAATTTATATTTTTACAGACAAACTGTCATATGACTGTCGAAAGGGGGATTGAATCTGTCATTAAAACAGATTTAATGTCATTTATCTCCTTAATTTTTAGTCCGTTGCCTCCAATAGGTTTGCTCGATTTTGTTGGGATAATTTTCTTTCCCTGATTACTGGTAACACTGGTCGTGCTTTGTTTTTTTCCTTGATCGTGCATGACATCATGGATGACGTATTGTTGACGTTGATTTTGGATGACGTATGATTGATGTATGACCTCCGGTGCGTCATTAGTTTCATTACTTTGTAGCCTACAATCATTGTTAAATATATGGTTTATCTTTTCCCTTAATTCTACGTTGCTCTTAGTTATTTCGCTAAGAATGTTAAAGATTTTTCTTACACTCTCAATGAGATTGCAATAATCGTCAATACTTAAATTGTAGGTTTTCAGTTTGTCTAACCTTACATGGCAGTCCTTGCAAATCCAACTGATTTTACCGTCAGATCCTCGAATTGCTTGATAGTCGTGAATTCCTAGCCCCACACATTCGTAGTGAAACATTTTCATGCACATGCCATCACACTGAGTACCTGGATAACTTTTATTTATCGTTTTATTACACTCGTTACATGGATTGTGAACTGATCTCGACGCTATCTTGAACCGGAAGACCGGTTCAATATGGCATCAATACCATATTACCAATATTATGGTATCAATACCGTAATGACTTTTTTAGGGCCATTTAAAAAAATCATTAATGGCCATAAAAGAGTAACTTGAAGATGTTATCTAATGTAAGTAAATAAATATATATGTAACTTAGGCCTACTTACTGTCTTCGCAGTCCTTGTTTTGTGATGACATTACAGCCGTTTTGGAGATTACTCTATCATCGGATGTAATCGTACACTAAACTAAAATACCGGTACTGTTGTATTTACATTTTTTACAAAATATTTGACGGCAGTAGTGTCATAACAAAATAAGGATTGCGAAGACAATAAGTAGGGCACATATATATTTATTTGTATACACGTAATGTATCACACTGAAAAATCATAATGTAAGTAGTTGATTTGCTATGTATAACCTCTAGTAGGCCTATATTTGTTTTTTTTATGTTCCTCATTGCATTGTTCCACTTGAGAACTAAACATAATAAGGTAAATCGGAAAAAAGGTGAATAGCAGTGAGGTCCAGTTTTTGTTTTTGTTGCTGAGTAGCGCTAGTAAACGTACACAACCCTTTTTTCGTTAGTCTTATAACATTCGAAGGCTCTCTAAGAGTTCAAGAAAATAACATTGCAAATATACTCTTTGGACAATTCAGTAACTCTCAATAAATGTGTGTTGTCTAAAATACAATTTAAAAATTAACAGCTGTTTCATTAAAAAGTAGGTATCCTTATATATAATACGTGAAGGCGATTTCCTACAAAACACTACTCCTCTGTTAATAATGGACGGACTTTTACATACGACGTGTCAAAATAAAGTATTTTTTGTGTAGACGCCCCCTTTTACTAATTCCTGTAATTAGAATCCTCGGGCTTTTGCCCCACAGGCCTAGGAAGAGACTTAGGAAGGAGTGAACACTTTTAAACTTTGTTAGAGTAATATTATTTGTAGGCTAATACTAATTTTTTGCAATATTTCTGTTCATAGCCAGTACCAGTACAATGGGGGAGTTGTAATTAATATCCTCCGACATTGGATGATTCAGGGGAGAGGCTGAGGCGGAAGAATAGGTAGCAGAGGAACAGTAGATGGGGAACGAGGCGAAGAAAAGACTAGTGTTGAAGAGAAATATGGTAAGTTTTGCCATTTCCTCAATTTTAATACTTATCAATCCTGAATTTTATTTAATGTAGGCTGTAAATAATTTATAAGTAGAATTTCCCCTTACGAGGCTTAGCAGCTCACACTGAAGCAATGTTGTAAGGACAAAATATCCTGCTCGCACCAGTGGTATCAGTCCCGCGGGGCTAGAATTCCCGCACCTCGCACTTATAGTGTTAACCCTATTGAAATAATATTTGGTTTAACAAGTTCAGCCAAAAGTGGAAATCCATAGACATATCAATTTAATAGCCATAATAATTCTTTTTATATCATAATTAAGTAGCACATAAATTCAGAATATGGTGATAAATACTAATTCTTTTTCTGTATCTATTTCAGGCCTGATGGCGATGGGGGCATGGAGGATGAGCAGGGGTGCCCACAGGGGGGTTTGATGTCGCAAAATGCGACATCAGAATTTTATTTGGGGGGGATTTTATGATTTTGGGGGGGGATTCAATCCAGTGGTTGGTTAAAAGCACATCAAAGATTAATCAGATAATTTTTACGACCTCCTTAATTTATTACTGGGTTATTATGCAATCAAAATCCCGTTTAACATTTTATCTTGATTAATAAATCATTTTATGATTGCTATTAAATATATAGATACTTTTATGTGGATTTCCACTTTCTGACTCGTATCATGTTTGACAGTGAGAACAACTCCATGCCAACTGCTGTCCAAGGATTATGGTTGCTTATTAAATTGTATCTGCAATTTGAGTTTGTTTTTACCTTTACATTATGAACTCATTCTCAAATAGTCTCATTGCCTTGAGAACCTATTGATGGTTTTTTAGGTTTGTTTATTATAATACTAGCAGAGTACCCGTCCTTCGTACGGGGTTGGCATAGAAGTATAAAATGCTTATACATATGGTTTGACAGCTCCATTTAAGTGATGTTAAATAATGTTTACATTTAGGCTAGTGACATCATTATTTTAATTTATAATCCTTACCCTCTCTGTTCTAATATTCGTGCAGTATTTAATATGTTTGAACCAGCTGTGTGGAATTGTAAAATCAAAATTCATTTGACAGTTAGTTCTGCTTGTTTACATTTTTAAACTTTGTAGGTTTGTTCTTTGTTACCATGGATACCATCAATCAATATTTACTTTTAAATCTCTCACCTCAAATTTTTGAATGCCCACGGGGCAGAGCCCTAGGACAATATCGAAGCGGGAATAGTTCTATATGTATCCTCGGAACTGTAGCTTCATTTGTGTGCAATTTGAGCCCAGTAGGTTCAGTAGTTTTTTAGATTAGCTCATACAAACACACACACACACAGACACCACCTCTTCTTTATAATAGTATAGATAGATAGATAGATAGATAGATAGATATTCTTGATTCATAAAAAAAAACAGTATTGACAATCATTTTGCTATTTTTACAACATGAACAACAACATGAAAGCTTGTGATGATATTTTGGCTCTCCCAAATAAATATGCCTGGGTCATTTATTCATTGGAAGAAATTGACATAGTACTGTGACAATTTAATTAAGGTTTTTGATAGGCTATGTGTTTACGTTAACTTCAAGAACTGAAACACATGATTCTGGATTGATTAAATTGTATTTGATTGTCTTTTCTTGAATCTAGAAAGAGCTTCAAACAAATTTTACTAGTCTTAGAATAGATTTATAATTATTTTTTTACGCCACAATACACTATTTTGACGAACTTCCCATACAAGGATTTAGTCCAGAAAACAGCTGTTTGTCCTTAATCAAATGGGGTTTCATACAGTACTACTGTACTGTAATGAGTTTTACGCCACACTACATTATTTTGATGAACTTTCCACGCAAGGATTTAGTCCAGAAAACAGCTGTTTGCCGCCAGCTTATTCAAATGGGGTTTCATTGCGTAATACTGTTCTGCAATGAGTTTTACCGGACACCAATCAGCTGATTATACTGTATTTTCGTGGCAATTAGTGGTTATAAACAAAAACATAACCTCTCTCAAAGGTTATGACTAGTGTTTATTAGTCCTTTAGTTGGTGGATTTGTATAGTTGTGGAAATATATAAGGATTTGTACGGATTTAGTAGTATGCCGTAAACTATCGTACGTAACTCGTCCAAAATGTGTGTACCGGACTCGTATGGTAATCCCGTACTCGACTTCGTCTCGCACGGGAACGACCACACTCGTCCGGTAAACACTTATTTTCAGGACTAGTAACGTAATATACTATTGCCGGACACCAATCAGCTGATTATACTGTATTTGGGTGGCAATGAGTGGTTATAACAAAAACGAGAGGTTATGACTAGTGATTTTTAGTCCTTTAGTTGGTGATAATATTGGGATTTGAACGGATTTAGTAGTATGGCGTAAACTATCATACGTCACTCGTCCAAAATGTGTTGGCCGGACTCGTATAAAAAAAACCACTACTCGACTTCGTCTCGCACGGGATTCAGGACTAGCAACGTAATATACTATTTTACCACACTATGATGTTTTTAACTGTTTTACATATAGGCACATTAATTGATGGTTGAAAGTTACGTTGTGCAGGCCATGCCAGCTGTCATCGTCATTCGGGGATCGAGCAGGTTTTTACATCCCTAGGGCCGCAAAATCAGCTGACCGCTTTAAATACACAATCACTATCAATAGCATTGCAATAGAGTTGTTTTATTGTCACCGCTGCCTAGCAACTATTTATTATTATTTTTGCTGATTCCTCGAATTATTTATCCACATGACCTTAAAGTTGTAGTTGTGTTGACTATATCAGTGTGCAGTGCATTATCATTGAGGTGAATTAGTGGTAAATAATAGGGTATAGTGTGGGGTGGTGAATAATAGCGTTCGTACCACGGACTGAAATGGTTTTGCAGTTCTTGATCGTTTTAAGTCCTCGACCTCGTATCGAACTTAAAAACTACCTCGAACCAGCAAAACCTCATTTTGGCCCTAGGCACGAAATATACTACCTATTAAGTTTAGGCCTAGTAATATTTTTGAGACTGAATATTTTACACTTATTTAAAAAGGACCAAACTCAGAAGTGGATTATAAAGGGCAATTTAGAAAATATCTCAAGCTTTTTGACATAACTTCAAGTACTTTCTCCCCTACAATTTAATATGGTAAAAGAGTTGTTTATGTAAAAACCCTGATCCCAAAAAAGTGGTTTTCGAAGTGATGTGTGTGTCTGTCTGTATGTGTGTATGTATGGTATAGAGCTACAGTATTTTAGGTACTAATCCATGGTCTCTCCAGATGGTTTTTTTTTTTCATTTTGGATTTTTAATAGTGATATTCCATAAAACCCTATAAAATAATGGATGAATAAAATTTTCTCAGAATTGGCCTGGACGATTTTGAATTAAAATTAACATGTTATACTATTTGACTATGACAAAAATTGTGTAGGCCTAAACCCTCTATGCCGTAAAAATTATGGTTCAAAAGTTATTGCAACTTTTGTGATTTTCCCTTTTAAAACCTATTAACTCATTGAAAATCGGATTAAAAAAAACTACATGGCCAATTTTGATTCAAATTGTGTGCATGTCAAAAATCCAACACATTTAAATTAAAACTAAACTAACAAATAGTTTGCTACTACAGTTTTAAAAGAAAATCGTCCATTTATATTGGGTTAAAAGTTTGATTCAAACGCTTAAATTCCCATAAATTTAAAGAAGTGTCGGGGGCACCCTTCCATCCCTGCATTTTAAACATAATTTTGGGTTAGCCCCCAGACCTTCTGGCATGGGTTAAACAACGATTTTTGGGGGGGATTTTGCGACGTGAGCTTTGGGGGGGATGGGCACCCCTGAGGATGAGAGATATGGCTGATTATGTTGATTAGGTTAATATTTGTTTTGAACATCAGTATTCTTTTATTTGCATTTTGTATCATTAAGATAATTTTATGTTTTTTAATGAAGGTGTTTTTTTAAGTTTTAATACCTACTTTGTTGTACTACTGCCTAGTTTTATAAATAAACTGTTTATTATGTTTGTTGAAGTTATTACTTTCACTAACTGACATTGTCAATTAAAATAATTAGGTCAAAAGAGATATCTTAATATTAATTCATCTTTAACATATCCTTGTTGCTAATTACAACACAATTTTCATTAATGTAAATATTTTATTGACAAATAACTTACAAAGAGCTGGTTAAGATTTGCAAATCATATAGAAAGTAAGTATAACCATGTATAACTTTGCCTGTTCCAAAATTCAAGTTTACACTCTTACCATTGATTATAGAAAAATATAATTCACACTTTTTCCAACGTTTTTAGAAACAAAAGTCAACTGTAAACAGCTTAGTTTTAAAATAGGTATTGCAATTGAAACAGCTGTCTAGCTAAACACTATACACCACTAAATTAACCGCAACATATAAAAAAATATGCCATGATCATGTTTAGTGAAAATAAGAATACAATTTTTTCCAACAACAAAGCACGCAAGAAACTTAGATTGGAAGAGACTCGAGATATAATTATGGGATATAAAATGTACACTTCTGCTTGTTGCAGTATCAAAAGTCAATCAATATTTACTTTTTATAACTCTCAACTCAAAACTTTGAACGCCCACATGGCACAGTCCATAGTCAATATTGAAATGAAGTCTTCAGGGGAAAGTGGTTGAAACACTTTTCTACATTCAGGTAGTTACAAAAAAATCAAACTGGTAGTTAAGACACAAAATGGTTGTAGCTGCCGGGTATCGGATGCCAACACAATTGACATGGCTCTTTGCAATCATCTGCTTATTCTACTCTCATAATTATTTTTATGCTCATAATTATTACGGTACATTTACTGTAGCTGTGTGACACCTTAAAAGACGCATTTGGCAAAGAGTTCTTCGGACAAAACCCATCCAAACAGGCGTACAACCTCTTGTTGCAGCAACAGAAGCAATTTTTTTCAGCACTTCAAGACAGCAAAGCTGGTCTTTTGCCTTATCCAGTTTTTAGCGAATTTCCCATATAGGGAATAAGCTATTACCGTAGTACTCATGGTAAGACCTGGACCTGAGACCAATTTACTTTTTCGTTTTGAGGTCCCTAGAGGCCAAAAACTAAACTACAGTATTAACATTTTACAACAAAAAACACTTTTTTACCCTCCCTGTTGCAGAAAACCTAAGTACTCGTTAAACTAATTTTATTGAAATAGGGTATAAAGTCTGCAGGTTTGCTGTGGCGGGGATATTATCGTTTTGCCTTAGCCAGTTTTTATTAAGGAAACAAACAAAATGTCTCTACAACATCAAGGAGGAACAGGGCAATGGAAGAGCAGGTAATAATCAAAACTACAATACACGTAACAAAAATAACTTTGTAGTTGGAAAACATATATTAGAGCT